CCACATCGCAACTGACTCGATACAGACTCACCCAGAGCGTGATCACCATGACAACTGTTGTTCCCGCCTTGCCATGGTTTCAAATCCGCCAGGCTCACGCTTCCCACTTCTCCTTGGCTCCAGTTGCTGAGTCATCAGGATTACGTCAACAATCTCCCCCCTAATCCTGAAGACCACTCAGATCCCGAACTCCAAGCAAATGCCTCATGACAGCAAGCTTGCCTGCAGGCAGTGGCTTTGTCAATGCATCAGCTTTCTGTTCTTCAGTGCATACCCTTCTCACTGCAACCTGCCCACGCTCCACGCACTCTCTGATGAAGTGATATTTAATATGAATGTGTTTGCTTCTTCCATGGAACACAGGGTTTTTCATCAGAGCTATTGCAGAGTTATTGTCAACATACAGTGTCACCACCTTGGGCTCTTTTGCAGTGATTTCTGCCATCAGACTCCTTAACCAAAGAGCCTGCATCGCTGCATATGTGTCTGCCATGAATTCTGCTTCACAGGAAGACAATGCAACAGTCTTTTGCTTCTGTGAACACCAAGTGATTAGGCTTTCTCCAAGGTAAAATGCCATTCCTGCAGTACTTCTTCTCCCAACCAAGTCACCACCCACATCACTATCAGAGTATCCCATCAACAGCTCTTCTGATCCTCCTTGAGTATACACCAACCCAAGCTCTACTGTACCTTTCAGATACCTGAGGATCTACTTAATTGCATTCATATGCATCATTGTGGGTTTTTCCATGAACCTACTAGCAATTCCCACTGAGTAGGCCAAATCTGGTCTTGTATGAAGTAAATACCTCAAAGACCCAATCACTCTTCTATATTCAGTGGCATTTACAGGATGTCCACCCTTGTCACTGTGCAACTTAGTTCCAGTATCCATAGGAAATTTAGTTGCATTACATTTACCCATGCCAAACTGATCCAACACCTTCTTTGCATAACCAGTTTGTTTCACTGTAGTGAAATCTCTGTACTGCCCAACTTCTATTCCCAGATAGTATGACAGTAAACCAAGGTCAGACATTTCAAATTCTTTTGTCATTTGCTCCTTGAATTCTTTAATCTCCGTTGGGTCCTCTCCAGTGACAATTAAATCATCCACATACACTTCTAGAATGATAGCACTCTTTCCCACACCCCTTGTGTAAACAGCTTGCTCACTTGCACACCTTCTGAACTTGAGTTTTTTCAGGCTTCTATCCAGCCTTACATTCCATGCTCTAGGGGCCTGCCTAAGACCATACAAGGCCTTACTTAGCTTTAGAACATATTGTTCTTTGCCCTCCACCACATATCCCTCAGGTTGTGAAACATACACTTCCTCTTCAAGTTCTCCATGCAAAAAAGCTGATTTAACATCAAGATGGTGCACCTGCCAACCCCTGTTGGCAGCCATTGCCAAAAGCAATCTCACTGTGTCAAGTCTAGCAACAGGGGCAAAAACCTCATCAAAATCTATCCCTTTTTTCTAAACATAACCTTTAGCTACCAGTCTGGCCTTATGTTTTGTCACCTCTCCATCTGAGCTTTTCTTCAATTTATACACCCATTTCAACCCAATGGGTTTATGACCGACTGGTAGTTGACACAGCTTCTAGGTCTTGTTCTTTTCAATTGACTGAATTTCTTTGTTCATGGCTTCAGTCCATTCAGCATAACTCGTTGCCTCTTTATAACTAGTTGGTTCCTCCATTTCAACCATTAAAGCTTCACCATCTGAATCATACATCAACTCCACCTCCGATGCATTCTGATAAATATCATTGAGGCTTCTGAGTCTCTCAGGTTGATCTTCTGAATCAGATGAGCTTGCTCCAGGACTGTCGAAGCCAAACTATGGTTGCTCAACTGCACTTGGGCTTTGTTCAAGTGTTTCACCCATTGCCTGATTCCCAACAGTATTCACCAATGGACTATGACTACCCAAAGGCATTGCCTGTGTACTTGGAGACTGTAGCAGGTCTGGCACACCGCCACCACTACCAGTACTTCCCTGTGAATGAATATCAGCATCACTTGCTGCTGCTCCCGGCATTCCTTCATTCATCAATTCTTCATTCTGTACATTTCTAGTACCATCGACTAACTGTTCAGACAAATTCTCATCTAACACCTGAAACTCGACATTGTAGTCTGTCACATTCTGAGTTCCCCACTCAAACTTGACATTTTCTTCAAACACCACATCCCTACTCACAGCTATTTTATTGTTTTGAGCATCATATAGTCTGTGAGCCTTACTGCCCTCCTCTACTCCGAGGTACATCATTCTTCGACTCCTATCAGCTAACTTTTTCAGATCTGGTCCTGCAGATCTGACGTTTGCTGTACAACCAAAAACTTTCAGGTGTCCTAGGTGTGGTTTTCTTCCATTCCAAGCTTCATATGGAGTACAATCACCCATAGCCTTGGTTGGCAAACGATTTAACAAATAAACCGAATGCCTGACTGCCTCCCCCCAAAACCTTGCAGGACCTCCCATGCCCTTCATCAGAGATCTAGCCATTTCCATCACTGTCCTATTGCTCCTTTCTACAACACCATTTTGTTGTGGAGAATATGGAGCAGTAAACTGCCTTTTTATCCCAGCATTCACACAAACATCTCTGAAAGCATGTGACAAAAACTCACCCCCCCTATCTGATCTTACAGTTTTTATCTAACGCCCAACAGTGTTTTTAGCTTCTGCTTTAAACCTGACAAAAGCATCTACTGCCTGATCTTTTGATTTCAGACTATACATGGTCATCCACCGTGTACAATCAGCTACTATGAGCATAAAGTACTTATTACCTGCTGCAGTTGATGGAGTGATGGGCCCGCACAAATCAACATACAACAGTTCCAGTGGCTTCTCCGCTCCCATTGTGCTGACCGAGGAAATGGAGCTCGTGCCTGCTTCCCTGCTAGACACGCATGGCACACCTGTTCTGGATGTGTAATCACTGGCATACCACCGACCATTGCCTTGTTGGTAATTTTCTTGAGCGATTGGAAGTTAACATGACCCAAACGTCCATGCCACAACCATGCCTCTTCACTGACGCTCGTCAGGAAACACACCGGCTCTGTTGGATTCAGTCCTATCCGGTACAGTCTGTTCAGAGACCTTCTCACCTTCATGATCAGCTTCCCAGAGATCTTGTCTTGTACTTCCAGGTCATCATCGTCCATCACAATCTGATGACCATTCTCTGTCAGCTGTCCTAGGCTAATCAAGTTGCTTCGGAGTTTAGGAATGTAGTAAACGCCCGGAAGCACCCATTGATCGCCTGTCTTACATCTGAACAGAATTGATCCTTTCCTCTTGATCTCCACCGAAGAACCGTCTCCGAATCTCACCTTCCCAGTTACACCTTCATCCAACACAGTGAATTTCCTCGAGTCTCCCGTCATATGATTACTAGCCCCGTTGTCAAGATACCAACAGTCACCATTCAGCTCGCCATCCCCGGTCAGATGCAGTTCGGGAAACACCTTGGCTTCAGTCAGGTTGATCGTTTCCCGATCTCCACCTGAACACACCTCCTCCGAGACAACGGCAAGCATGAGCGCTTCCGGCTGCTTCACTCCCTCCGTTCTCGCATGGTGCGCCTCTTCTCCCTTCTGCTCACCTGGACACTTATTTGCATAGTGCCCGTGCTTGTGGCACTTGAAACACTGGATGTGGCTTTTATCCTTGCCACGGCCAGTGCCCTCCTTGCCTGACGCATCTCCGCGTCCTCCACGACCACGGCCTCCACCGCCACGGCCTCTCCCTCTACCTCGGCCACCACCTTCCTGCGCATTTCCTCTCCCCGAGGAATCACCACCACCGGTCTTCTTCTGTCGTGCCTCCCATTCTGCCTGGGTAAGCAGCAACTGGCCGCCATCACCACGCGCACTGCCGGCTCCCCGCCGTGTCCGCTCCTCAAAGGCCTTCAATCGACCCACCGCCTCATCAAATGCCAAGGTTTTCAGATCATAAAACTGCTCGATCCCGGCCACCACGTTGAGGAACCGATCGGGCACGGTGTCGAACAGCTTCTTCACCATCTCTGAATCCTCCAACGACCCGCCTAAGTTCCCATATCTAACTGACATCTCCGTCAGTTTCCCGGCGAACTGATCTACAGTTTCTTCACCCTTCATCTTCAGCGCATCAAACTCGGCTTTCAAGGTCTGTAGCCGCGCGTCCTTCACACGCTCTGCGCCTACAAATCGCGCCTTCAGGGAATCCCACACTTCCTTCCCCGTCTTCTTCTTCGCCACTTGCATCAACAGTTCGTCCGACAGGCACTGAAACAAGTGCGCCCGCACCTTCTTGTCCTTGCCGGCAACTGCTTCCGTCTGCTTCACCACCGAACTCCCCTCCGACGGTTCCACCACCTCCCACCACCCCTGCTCCTCCATGATCGCCTGCACCCGGATACTCCAGCTGGTGTAATTTGACGTTGTCAGCGTCGGAAACACCTGATGATGGCGACCGCCACTTCCCCGACTCCCTTCACCATCCTCCAGCGACATGAATGAACTTGTAGTGGAATGAACCGTGTGAAAGTGGCTCCGCCGGTGCCACGTGACCATGTACATCAGCTCCGGCCACGGGCAAGTGGTGCGCTCGTACCGCAACAGGGCCGGCGGCGCCGGCGCCGGAGTGAGATGTTGGATAAAACAGGATCACAAACACACGGCTATGCTCGTGGCTATCCTAAGCAATCAACAGAACAAGCGATCTGCGAAGAAGAACGCAAGAAACACAATGAACACTGTAGCAACTGCCCGGAGGTCTCCCAGGAGACGGTGCCCTTTTTCACCCCTGATAACTGCAAGTACAGTAAGTATTACAAAGTGTTCCCAGGCGCTGTCCACACCTCAACACACCCACTACTTAAGCCTGTAGCTAATTGACTCGGTACACACACCAAATTTAGCTAACACACACGATACAAGTTGCCTCACCGCAACTGACTCGATACAGACTCACCCAGAGCGTGATCACCATGACAGCTGTTGTTCCCGCCTTGCCATGGTTTCAAATCCGCCAGGCTCACGCTTCCCACTTCTCCTTGGCTCCAGTTGCTGAGTCATCAGGATACGTCAACACGAGCTGCCTCGCCGTCCCGGACGACGAGGACGGCGTCCGCGACGCGCTCCGCGGCATGCTGAGGTCGATCGGGGCGCTGCAGGACCTGGGGCACAGCGACGGCGAGTGGGAGTCCATCGTGCCCGAGGACGTGGTGCCCGACCTCGCGGACCCGCAGGCGCGGGCCCGACACGGCGCCGCCAAGGTCGACCTAGCGGTGGTCCAGCACGTGCGCTTCGACGCGGCCCGGGTGCTCATGACGGGGTGCGAGAAGATCGGCGACGATGGTGTGGCGGAAGAGGAGGGCGGCGTCGACGTCGAGTGCAGCGTCTGCTTCGACGCGCTGCTGCGCGGGGAGGCCGTGGAGCTGCCGGGCTGCGAGCACGCCTTCCACCGCCGGTGCATCTTCGAGTGGTTCCGCCAGAAGCCGACGTGGTGAAGCATCTGGACCCCGAGCTGCAGAAGCATATCGCAGAGTTCAGCGACGCCATGTGATGTGATCGATCAAGGGAGAACTCTGGACCCGTGGAGAGCGCCATGGGTAGACTAGCTAGCATTCATCTTTGTCTTTTGGTTTGGGTTGTACTTGCTTGTATAATGCAGCCCGCGCGCTACAGGCTGTAGAAAAGTTTATAGCCTACTTCGAGTCTATCTATATATATTAGTTAGTTCATTTATAACTCATTCATTAGTTTGCCGTAAGCCCGTCTGTCTTCTCTGTCTTTTTTTTTCTCCTCCACATCAGAATACAGCTCACATACAGATTGCTTGTTGAGTTGTATTGATTTCTTCAGCACAACTATTATTGTAAAAAGAGAGAAAAACATGCTGCAATCGTCTGCTCTTTCCTGTCCAACACGCTTGGTTTGGGGCTTTGGGCAATGTACCTACCACACGTCTCTGCTATCCGCTGGAAGCCAATATGCCCGCAGAGGCGACGTGGTAAAGCATCTGGACCCGAAGCTGCTGCAGAAGCATATCGACGAGCTCAGCGACGCCATGTGATGTGATCAAGGGAGAAAGTGCAGGCCTGTGGAGCCGGAGCGCCGTGGATGGGCTAACATTGATCTTTTGGGTTCCAGCTGGTACAGTTCCAGCTTGTTTTAGCTTATTCTCTCTCATAGAATACTATTCAATCATCCAAAAAAAATCTAAAAAATACTGTACAGCAGACCATCCGAACGAGCTTTTATCTTTTGGGTTGTATACCTGAGTTTTATTATTGGTTTCTTCATTCATGTAACACAGCTTCTGTAATATTGCTTCAAGTCAAAAAAAAAACACTACTGTAAGTTCTGGGGGTGGGGAGAACTACGGTAAAAACAGGAAGTTTCTCCTCTTCCTACATCCCCTTCCTATAACACAGCTACTGTGTAATATTGCTTCAAGAGTTCTAAGTCAAATCAAAAAAGAAAAAGAAAAAGAAAAACACAACTACTGTAAACTGGAAGTTTCTCCCCTTCAAATTCCTATATGGCTAGCTATACGATTGATCAATGCTCCTTCTCTTTTTAGCAAGGTTCAGGCGCAAAGAGAAAATGTGAGCAGTGCTGCTGAGGTTTCCTTCATGGTAGGAGCAAATGTAGCTCGCCTATGATTTACTTATTTCTCTCGTAAAATTTCTTGATTTTTGTACGACTTATGTATGATTCATTTATTTCTCTCATAAAATTTCTTGATTCTTATACAACTCATCTATAACCTATTTATTTCTCTCACAAAATTTCTTAATTCTTGTACAGCTCACCTATGATCCATTTATTTCTCTCACAAAATTTTTTATTCTTGTGCAGCTCACTTATGATCCACTTATTTCTCTCGTAAATTTTTTGATTCTTGTACAACTTACCTATGACCCACTTATTTCTCTCACAAAATTTCTTAATTCTTATACAAATGCCGGTTGTAAACTTAGGCTAATAATACAGCCTGCTGCTGGCTATATAAATCTTTACATCCTATCTCTCAGTCAACCCATATAAATAGTTAGCTCTACGCAATTAATATATGGCCCACTTGTCTTTCTCACAAAGTTTATTAGTTCTTGTGTCAAAGCCGGCTGTAAACTTACATAGCCCACTTCTTCTCTCTCCTCTATCCTCTCTTTCACCTTGCTATATAGCCCACTTATAGCCTTTCAGTATACTTGCCCTTATAGCTCGCTTCTTTTCTCTCGCCTCGTCTCACTACTACACAAAATCTTAACCGAGGTGTTTCCAAAATAGGCTTCGAGGAGGTTGGGCCGGCAGCCCGCCTCAGTTACTTGTGGCATGGCAGCGGGCAACTTAACGCAACCGTCTCGGTTAATATCGATTAACCGAGGCGGTTGTCCTAACACAACCGTCTCCGTTAACATATTAACCGAGGCGGGCACATTATAAGGCCCACTTCCAAAAATAGTGGCCCAGTAGGCAGTCCATCTGGGCCCGATATCCGCTCATTGTATATATACCGTAGTTAGGGTTTCATTTTCACGCATCTCAGCTCCTCCGTCTCCTCACTCTCAAATGCGGCGTCTCTCCCCACGCGTTGGCTCCCTTTACCTCGCTCTCTCCCTTCCTCCACTCTCTCTCTCTCCGGTCCTCCCTCCACTCTCTCCCGGTGGTTCAGGGCCCGGCGGTAGTGCCCACCCCCTCCCCCCAACAGAGGGCCCGCGTGTGTCGACGGCGGGCACCGTGCACCTAGGCGGCGGTTGGCCGCGCGACCGGTGGCGAGGGCTCACGCGTGTCTATAGGGGACCGTGACGCCTAAGAGGGGGGGTGAATTAGGCAACTTAAAATTCAACTTCTAAACTATGACTTCTTTTTCTAACCCTAGCAAAACCTATGCAATAGATAACCTATCTAAATGTGCAACTACGGTTTTGCTAGTATATTGCTATCTCTACCGCAAAAGGAGTAATACAATCAATGTAAATGTGGAAGCTAAAGAGCAAGGTAGAGATATGCAAACTCCCGTCGACGACTCCGGTATTTTTACTGAGTTATTAAGAAGCGCGCAAGCTTCCCCCTAGTTCTCGTTGGAGCCCCTTGCAAGGAATCCCTCACAAGGGCCAAGCTCCCGGTCGAGTAACTCCGTGGATAGTCTCGGGCCTTCCCCACGCGCAAGTGTGGGTTATACCAACGGCTTCAAGATTAGCAACTTTATTAGTTAGCTCATCACAATGTTTGCACATGGTTTCTATTTTAGCAAGTAAACTTTTATAAGTATCTTGTGAGCTAGCTAATTTTTCTTTTAATTTTTCATTTTCTTAACAAGTTGCTCATCATTGATTGTGCAAGTATTTGTTGTTGCACTAGCCTCAAGTTGCTCAATTTTAGTAGATAGTTCAATATTAAGATTAGCAAATGTCTCATATTGTTCAAGCAAAGTTTTATATGCTTCTTGTAAACTATCTAGCTTTTCTTTTAACTTTTCGAACTTCTTTTGTTGACTAGTGTAAACTTTAGCATAATTAAGATTTTATTGCATAATTTCATCATAAGAAGGCATTTCATCATCACTATTACTCTCACTAAAGGATGAGCTTTCGTTACCTCTTGCCATAAGGCACACACGAGAAGAGCTTGATGATGAGTGCTTGCGGCCTCGCCTCTTGTGATGATGTTCTTCTTCACTTAAAGAATCATCCCATGACCTTATTGATGTGAGGGCTTGGTTCTTGCACACCTTCTTCTTTGTCTTGGGTGTGGGCTTGTTTGGACAAACTTCCACAAAGTGCCCAACTCGCCACATCTATAGTATATTTTCTTTCTTTGCTCATTTCTTTGATTGGTAAAAATGAGATCTTGAACTTGGATGGGTACACAGTTGACATTGAGCCTTTGGATCATCTTCTCCACCTTGTTGATAAGTTTGATTGATTTTTCTTCAATGTTGGAGGTGGAGGAGGAAGATTGATCATCATCACTTGAACCTTCATAATCATCATCATCATCATTATCATCATCATCATCCTTATCTTCTTCTTCATCTTCACTTGAGGAGCTTGAGCTTGAGCTTGTCTCAACTTGCTTGCCCTTCATCTTCTTTTTCTCGCTACATGCGAGAGCTTTGCCTTTGCTTGATGAAAAGCCTTCTTCTTGACCCATCTTGCGTGACATTTCAAAAGCCACTACTTTGCCAATGACTATGGCCGGGGTCATGGTGCTCAAGTCCTCCATGTTGTGAAGGATGATGATGATGCTTGCATATTTCTTTTGTGATAGCATAGAGATGATCTTCCTCACGATGTCCGCATCATCTAGCTTGGTCAATCCTATTAAATGGAGCTCATTGATAATTAGATTTAAACAAGAATACATATCACGAACAAGCTCATCATCATTCATTTTAAAAGAATCATAATTTTGTTTGGCTAGACAATGTTTTTGCTCACGGACATTACTTGTGCCGTCATGGAGCTCTTGAAGTTTTAACCAAATTTCATGTGCCGTATTTAAAGTAAACAGCTGGTTAAACACATCCATGCTAAAAGATTCAAACAAGCAATTTTTAGCTCTACAATTGAAATGTATTTCTTTTTCTTCACTCTTTGTGGGTTTATCGGGATTCTTAATGGGTTTCATCCTATCACGAGTGACTCTCCAAACACCCAAATCAACCGCCTCAAGATGACAAGCCATTCTAGCTTTATAATAAGGGAAGTTAGGGCTGTCAAAGTGCGGAGGCCTAGAGGTATCCATCCCAACCACTCTAAATAGCGTCGGCTCAACGGCGGTTAAGCCAAAGGTTCACATTGAGCCAACCTGGCTCTGATACCACTTGTAGGAGACCGTGACGCCTAAGAGAATGGGTGAATTAGGCAACTTAAAATTTAACTTCTAAACTATGGCCTCTTTTTCTAACCCTAGCAAAACATATGCAATAGATAAACTATCTAAATGCGCAACTACGGTTTTGCTAGTATGTTACTATCTCTACCGCAAAAGGAGTAATACAATCAATGTAAATGCGGAAGCTAAAGAGCAAGGTAGAGATATACAAACTCTCGTCGACGACTCTGGTATTTTTATCGAGGTATCGAGAAGCGCGCAAGCTTCTCCCTAGTCCTCGTTGGAGCCCCTTGCAAGGAATCCGTCACAAGGGCCAAGCTCCTGATCGGGTAACTCCGTGGATAGCCTCGGGCCTTCCCCACGCGCAAGTGGGTCTCCGACGTGCCTTCCGGCAAGCCTTTCCCGGATGCTCCCCGCCGTCTTCACTATCAAGCTTCCGGCCAAAACGCAGCGGACCTTGTTTCCTCCGGTACACGGTGGCGGCCACACCACAAACGCGGTTGGTGTGATCTCGCAAGACTACAAGCCCCTCCGATGTACAACAATGGTGCGCGCAAGCACCGAGTGGTAAGAGGTATGCAAACCTCACTAAACTCTAGGCCTAAATCTAGAGCAAGTGCATAAGTGGTGGTCTAATCAACCTAAGCACTTCGTAAAGCACCTA